ATATATTTATTTCAATCTGCCAACGCATTAAACGCTACCTAATGAAAAAAAAATCACTTACAAAGCACTTGTGGGTGGTGCGGTCTTTATTTTTGTACAGCTGGAGGCTGAGGCTTTCCATTACCAGTGGTACACATCTGTGTGCCAAATAATTTGGAGTGTTGTGTCTATGTGCAAAAAGTAAGACTCTTACCTTTGAAAACATCTGATGTACACAGTCTAAAAGGTTTCTCTGTGGAACGCTGTGGGGCTTTAAAGGAATCTGCATTGGAGAAGAAAAGCAATTAATTAATACTATTCTCTATATAGAGAGCAATGAGCCTACAAGTCCTTCAAGCATTAAAGCTCAACTACATGGTCTCACCATGCCCAAGATATACCGAATATGCTTCTAATGGGCTTCTTCAATTTAGCAAGGCAAAGAGAAATAAATGATGGCTACTATGGATTATTGAGATTCCTAAAATGAAACTACCTTAAAAAAAAAAAGCTTTGGACAAGATGGGGAACTGTAATATCCCTTTCTGTCCCGGTGGGATCTGCTGCAAACTGCACTTCCCATTTCACCTTGCTTTGGAAAATCCACTAAAGAGCTAGTGACAGACATCAGTCCACAAAGAGATCTCCAAATAATTACAGGGAAAATACCCTCTTGTGAATTAAACTGCTCAAAGCAGAGCCCTATTTAAAAAAAAAAAATCAAGGGTACACGGATTATGTCCAATAAAAACTCAAACAGCTCAACATCTCAGGCAGGTAGGATATAGTCATCTAGATTCAGCCTGCATGCCATGGCTAGTGAGGGGCTTATTACAGTTCACATTAGAGCTGGTTGATCACTCAAAAGGTGGGACCCCCAAGATCTCCTGCAAGCAGAAATATCGAAGATGTTCACAGATGGTGACTAGGGAGGTGGTGCATTTTGAGGATAACTACTTCTTTCTCAACTTTCAACTTGGCCACAGTGTGCGGACTGTACCAAGCTGACTGTACTCCACCAGACTAAGATATGCTGTTTACCCTTTGATGTTTGCAAAATTTTAATCTGCTTTTAACATTATTAAAAACATTTTATCTTGTCTCAAGAGTCCCAAATACACATAAAACCTATGTAGCCTACAATTTGCTGACATGCAACCTACATATGCGTCTACATTTGTCCCTGATTTGCTCGATAAATGTCCCTCAAAGTTTCTTACCAATTTGGTCAGTAAGGCACAGTCCTTTATACCAGCTTGTCAATTCAGATATTTGACTACCTTTGGCCAGATTTTCTCCACTGAGCCCACTGGTCGGAATGTAAGACACATCACTGTCCTAAACAGGCAGAAAATGATTACTGATCCTAATGCATATATAATTTAGATTTTAAGATTTTTTTTTTATATCAGTTAGTGTGAAACACAAAATATAATGGACTATATATTGAAACCCTTTGCAACAGTGGATATTTTAGTTTTTTATATTAAGCCCTATTCTAAAAGAAACATTATAGGCACTGAAGTAATTGCAACGTTAGTAAAAGACTATTGATCAGTTTACAGCACTAAACAAACATTTCTTATGATGAAGCCTATATGGGTGACATTCGGTGCCAACTACAGCAAAGTTACAAATCTTTTCGCCTTTAGGATCTCAGACATGAGGAAATGGTTAATTTGCTCAGATAAATTATTTTATCCAACATACACCAAGTAGATGAAGACATTTGGACTTTTGGCTGTTTTTGTCAGAGCCTTTGTCAGAGTCATTCTTTTTTTCTACTATCTAGTAATCTGTCTGTTCTCATTTGGCTAAAACAATCCACAGACATGAAATTAGAGTTTCATTGTTGGATGGTATATTGGGGGCAGACAATGCCCACCAGGCAACCATTCTGGGAGAAAACAAACAATCAAATTGGCACAATCATTATTGGTGTGCCAGAGATAAGCTGAGCCATCAGCATCTGCCTGCACTGCTCTCTTCTGAGATTAACACCAATGCTCTGCCCAAAGGACATGTGTGGTATTGGTATGCTAGCTAACAGATGACTGAGGGTGGTCAGATAATGTGTCCTCATGCATTATGTCCCCAGACAACCTAAATAGAGTGGAGGAAGAAAGGATTTTTACTTTGTATGTCGGTAATCTAGATGGACTCAAGAGAAACTCTAGGCGGATAAACAAAAAAGACCTCCATATGTAAAGCCTATTTTGCCTTCTGATAAATAATTTTGCAGTGATGGGGAATTAGTAAGAAATATTGGTTTTAAAATATTATTATGAACGATAGAGGATGTAAACATTGCATAGCTCTTGTACAGACCAAGCTGTTTAATTCATTACAGAAAACAGTTCTGTGTAGAACCTCACAAATACTGTGTCCATTCTTTGAACAGTAGTGGAGAAAAGTGTGTGGGGAAAGATCTCAATGCACAGCAGAAAGAATGTAGTGTTTAGGTATTGGTGTATTATTTTATTTATATATTAATGGGTATGTTTCTTATTGTTCTTTTTGAGTCTGTTAATTATACTACTGAAAGCATTTTTACAACTGTTTAATAGATGCAAAATTAATGTTTGTACTCTAAATTCCTTTTCACTTTAAATTCCTTTTCTTGGAATACATTGAGGGACACAGGAAATCTTTCACCTTAGGGTTATACCGCCACGTAAAGGAGGATTGGACAATACTGTAAGGCCAGCACAGCATAACCTCCCTACTACCAGTATGCCTCATTTTTGCAGCAAGCAGTACTGAGAGCAGGGCCGTCTTTAACGCAGGGCAAAAGCGGCAGTCGCCCAGGGCCCAATCATTGTTGTGGGGCCCAAAGCAGCTGCCCCTTCAGCCCACATAAGATAAACACATGCAGGGCTGGCAGCCTCACCTGTGTAGGCAATGGGGCTTGCACCAGCCCTGCCCCGTCTGTGTACACAGCATCGGTGCTCTACACACAGGAGGCTACATACAGCAGCATAGACGTGGCTCTGGGCTCCGCCCACTATCAACTCGACCCCGCCTCCCGCTCTACATACTCTGCTCTCCTGTGTTGACTGGGGCCCTGCTGGGAGCCCACACCGTGCCCTGAGATGTCACCCCCACTGTGTCCCCTCCTGCCTCCCCTCTCTGGACCTTCACACCAAGTAAGTGCCCAAATATGCCACAGTTTATGTATGCAACAGATACATATACTGTGTGCAACACATACATATGCAGAGCAGGTTCCTGACATTGCTTCTCTAGTTCAATCTATGCTGCTGAAGCAGGATTTAGAGTTTTTAAAGAAAATG